AATATGAAATACGACTACAGAAGAAATATAGAAGAATTGAGGGGACACAGTAGAGTGAAGTGCAATAGAATTGTGGAATTCAACGGTCGTGCCGGCTGTTGACGCATTCATCGAACGGAATTAGTCTTTCGAACGGCAACGTTACAATGAAACTGAAGAGAAAACCACCAGTGTTGAAAATGGAACGCTCCGCGAAACACAACCAAATAAACGAAGAAACTGTTGTAAAAAGAGAAGAAATCGAATGAACTAACCAAAGGAACTAGCACGACAACACTTCACAAAGAGAAAGGATGGTTGCCTATTTGGGCTCTCCAGATCAGTCCCGTTGACAGGTGACTGCTGATGGCACTGATCGATAGCACCAGCTGAGAGAGGCGAAACGGAGGATCCGCATGGTGTGGTGGCGAACGAGTCAGCCTTGGAAAGGGTAATAGCGGGTTCCTTCTCCACTGCAGACACTTGCGGTCCGGAGTTTTGCAAATATCTCAGCATCATTCAAGTTACATTTCGCAACACATCCTGCCATCAAAAGAGTAGGCAGTTAAGAATAAGTAAAAAGGATGGTTGATTCACTAAGTGACTATAGACCAAATGACAAAATGATTTGTTAACCGAATGAACCAAAAGCCTCTATTAGGCAATAAGAAAATGAAGGATGAGTTGGATAGCACTGAAGCAAGTATAGGTCGGAGTAGATGCAAGTTGTTCCTCCGAAAGGTCTTGTATTTTTCAATGCAGTTCAGTACCGGCAGATTTTCAGGTTTCGATATGCATGATCTCATCGTCAATGCATCAGCATAGAGAAAGTGTGAATTAGAAAACTCGGAAGACAAGTGTGAAGAAAAGTCAAAAACTTTAATTAATCTGACAAAGGATTTTTGCTCTTTCTCTCAGACAGTTTTCTGTACTAACGGGGCTGTCACAGGGCGACCTGGGGAGAAGAAAACGGCATAGAACCCTATTAACCCAAAGTGTAGTCAAAATCACAATACTTAGCTTTTTGCGAAATATAACTTAACTTCTTATTGGCTACCTATTATTTTATTTATTTTTTATACACATATTTGTCTTCATTTTATATTTTTATCTTATTTGCTGCCTGTATTGCTTTCAGTTCTATTTTCATTTATCTACATTATTCACGATTCCCATTGATGAACGATTGCTGATGGCACAGTTGGGGTTCAAAAAAAGCCAGATGAGAGGAAAATTAAGCAAGGGGCTCAATGGTTCAGTAGGTGAAAGGTAATCCGCCGGAAAGAGTAACTGCGCGTTCAAATCCGGGCTGGGTTTCAATTTTGTGACTACCTCAGCATCATTGTGGATGCATTTCGCATCATATCCTGCCACCAAAAAAGAAAAAATAACAAGCAGTTAATAAGAAGTCCAGGTTGAAAAATCAAAGTCTACGATCAAAAAGTCTATCATCTTTCTTCTATTTATATGGCAAGAGTGGTTAGTGTAGTTGTAGTGAGGACGATTACTTTGTTTGACCTCTCGTTCCTACGTGCAGTGTTCGATTTCGTCTCGTGCTCACTAAGCCTTTAATCTTCCGAGTGCTAGAAAATCAATACAATTTGTCTAGAAAATGATGGCTACCTGTAATCCAAGTGGGCACGCTCTATCCTGGCAATCCCACTACTCCAGGAAGAGTCGACTCGATCAACATTAAACGACGTTCATAACGAAGGCAACAATCCTTTAACAGCACCCGAACCCACACGCGCCAAACTCAAAGACATTCGTGAATGATGGATCAGAGGAAAGATATCGAGTGGAGGAAGTGCTGCGATCCTCACAGTACACGAGAAGACGGGTCACAAAGAAGTAAGAAAATATGTAAAAACATTCACATGAAACGTCTCCAAATATCGCACGAATTCCACCGTTCTTCCATTCGTTCATTCGTGTTGCATCAACAATCGTATAAATCGTTATGATTCAGTTGTTCACACCGCTACCCTTCGATGACTTTTTCTTTTCAGAAATATGCTTTAAGTATGGTAGGGTTAATTCTTCTCACAATCCTAGATTAGCTCTCCTACAGCGTATGCGGGTCTTCATCATACACTTGGTGGCCGGATTTTGGCCAACGGAAAAAGTTTTTCTGAGACAACTTTAGTACCAACCTGGAAAATCCGAGGATAGAGTGCACCCGAGTAGCAGGGTGTGGCAACTCGTTATTACTATTATTATTATTACTCCTATTATTTCAATAGTATTACTATTGCATGACCTGTCATTACATTTACTCTGAGGACCACAGTACTTCTTGCATTCGATTAGTTCTCCTCACATTCGTGGAGATCGCTAAGTTAATAATTCGTTAATAAATAATAATTTTTTATAATGTGATACCCGACAGTCATCGTGAACCAAATGGCATTTCGATACTTCCGTTTAAGTTCGCAAAGAGAAAGGTCAATCTAGGATAAGTGATTAATTAAGCTCATCGTTGGGCTAACCTAACTCGTTCCGCAGGCGACGAACATGTCAACAACCTCACTTGAGACAAATTCCAAAGCGGCGTCATTCCTTAGCAAGTTGTGAGGCATATTTCAGATTGAACCCAATTGCTATGTTTTTTCTTTTACGCAACGAAGATGTGATATCTCCTGCTCTTTCAACTATGCTTCTCAGGTATTTTCAGTAAAGTATACCTGTAATACCTGTGGCACCTCTAATCGCGATGAGACTCAATGGAAATCTCGACAGGACACCAGTAGAAACTCAACCTTCTCTGTGGCATGCAATGCTTTTTGTATGCTTGGTACGTTTCAGAAAATAAAGAGCACCTCGCCCGGTGTTGAGCAATCTTAGAGGAATGAACAGTGCATTCGACTTCACCAAGAGTCGATAAGGCAGTGTCCTACCGATCTATAAAATCTGTGTTTTGTCTTCCCAGACTGGTCTACTACCAAATTGCACACTATGGAGGAATGAGAGGCCTGGTGAGTTTCGGGTATTGAACTAAACCATAATCAAACCTGTACCAGGGTGTTCTTCTGGGCACTTTCAATCACTGCTTCGTAAATATGGCGCTCTAGTTTAACTGCTCTTGATGAGAGAAGCGATAAGTTTCGGTGGTCGGTTATGCTAAAATGTGTCATATACCATTCAATTACGTGATTGCAGGTTTCTAAACAAAGCTATGCATGTGGATACAATCCTTCCTACTTTTAGACGATTGTGGTCGCTTTTGCTACAAAAGTTTCTCATTGCGACAGATCGATACAGCCCTCATCAAATCGGCGAATCCTCATAGGGTGTTTCTTATACGTAACGATCAGATTTGATCCGATGTTATCAACGGATTGAAGAACAGAGTAGAGATCCGCGTCAGAGAAACTCCTCCTTACCAAAGAAGTACACGATGTAAAACTATTCGACATAATTGGTTGGGAAGTCAGCGTTTCCGTCCTTTCATTGACATCTACGAACTTGAAAAGGTGCTCCCTCCTCTACTAGTTGTCGCGATTTCTGGTGGTTTAGCACACAGCGATGTATTTAGAATAACTTCCTTTGTCAGTTCTCCAACTTTTTTTGCGCATTGTGATAACATGCCGTGCTCATCTACCGCGTACCGCGTTCCAGCCAGTACCAGAATCAAGTGGTTTGTCACCTTTTTGCAAGACTTCGGCAAAACTATCACAATGTTCCGTTGTTGATTTTTTAATTGTATTTTATATGACCCTTCTTCATGTCAACTACGCGGGTCCCAGCACTTCTCACATTCGATTCGTTTTCTTGCATCCATTGTCTACGAAGATCCGCTGACCTCATGTGTGGCTTCGGTTGCTGCTTGAGGATTTTCATTTCATCTTGAATGTTGTACAATGCTGGTCGAGAAATTCTCCCTGGAGTCCCGAGATAGCCGGGATGGAGCGTTCTCAATTGGGTTGCAGAGAGTGTTTTTTTCCCAGACAAGTCCGGTACCAATTTGCCGATCCCGGAGGGATGAGAGGCGTGGTTGGCCGGAGTGAAATGGAACTAGCACCATGCTAGCGATGACGAACATCACTATCACTGTGCCATCCAACCCTGATATTGCTTAACCAGTATCTCATTTCTTTTTACGATGGAAATGTTGAAACCCATTGCAGTTTATGTGACGTTTGAGATAAACTCGCTGCTAAAGGTAGGAGCACCTAACAAACCAAAAAAAGGATTGGAGTGGAGTAACAGGATTTGGAAAGAACTACGAAGTGCATAAAAACAAGCAGTACTTTTAAGAAGCTAAAGGACAAAGGCTAGTGCAAGTACTTGAAGTGTCACCATTCAAATTCCTTCGGAAGCGAAATAATCATGACGCCTTAAAAACATTCTCATGAGCTCAACGATGAAGCTGTATGCCAACCGATTCATTTCGGCTTATGGATCAGCTCGCAAAGACCGAAGTACCAACTTTCCATCAATATTGTGCTCTAACCAACACGTTTTCCGCTTTTATTTTTAATAATTCATTTTGCTATATTTATTCACAATAGATGACGTTTTGGCCAATTTCAATTTCTTTAGAGCCTGGAAAAGTCATATGGACTGCAACCTATCCATCCACGCACTTCAATAACCTCAACAGAAAAAATCACCATACCTAAATTTCAATCGCATTAGGTATAAAACAGCTTCTTCACACACTCAGTGCTCTCAGTGAGTCTTCCACTGAGTATTTCGCCTAGAGGCCAACCGTGCAGAGCTCTCACATCAAAACATTCTCAGACGTTGTGTAAGATCTCGCATGACAATGAGACATCCCTCTCACTTTCATTTTTGTTAATAACTAGTATGTTTCGACAAAATTCTACCCGGCAATGCAAAGCACTGGTTTTCAGCAATCTCAACATATTTTTTGGCATTTCTCTTAAATTCCGCAACAAATAAGTTTTTTAACAAAATCATCTCATTAGAACACTCTATGATATGAGACCTCATAATTTCACCCCTTTTCAGTAGGCAGAAATTTTTTATTCATTGAACACCTACTAATACAACAACTTTCACTGCTTGACTGATTTCGATCTTGCTGGACAATGGCAATAGCCACCATCCTCTCCGGGAGCTCCCAAAGGTCCTGTAGTGCCGTCGAATCCAGAGGGTCCTTGTGAACCAGGTAAGCCTGGTGGACCTGGCGGTCCCATTGAACCAGCAAGTCCCTGTTAAGCAAAGTGACTTTAGCGGCGGTTCGCTGTAAACTATTTGTAAATCAACTCAATAAAAAATGAAAGTGAAAACCTAAAAAATGCATTTTAGATACCACATTTCGAGTGAATTTTTGAATCTCCCCGTGATATACCATGTCACCGTGATTGTACGTATGCCTGGTTACTTAACCCTAACAGCGAGTCACTAAGAAGAAGCACTGCTACCTCTTCAAAAACCTAGTCAGGTGCTAAGGAATGGTGGGAATAGGGACAATCATATCTCGGCCTTTAAGACTCAAGGGTAAGAAAACACTGCTTTAAGAAAATCCTCCTTAGTCACCTCATGAGCGGTCAACTATTGCTCATCGTGCAGTATGACGATCGGTTCACCTCTAGCTTTTCCATCCAAAAGAACGCATTGCAGCTTTTTAACCAAAAATGCATAACTCAAAAGTCGTGAGGAAAACAACAAAGTTTTCGATGAAACACTCACCGAATTTCCTTGACTCCCGTCCTGTCCAGGGAATCCAGGTGTACCCATCATACCCCGTTCCCCCTTAGGCCCTGGTGCTCCTTTACTCTTCATCTCAGCATCATGGCCCTTATCTCCTGAAGCACCCGGTGATCCTGGTAATCCTGGCTCTCCCGGCATCCCAGGCAACCCCGGCATGCCTGGATTCCCGTTTTGACCAGGCATACCATCTGTGCCTGCCGGTCCTTCGAGACCAGGTGAGCCAGGTTGACCTGGTGGTCCAGGAAAACCGGGTAGACCTTTTGGGCACATTCGGCATTGAGCTACGTAGTCCACTAAGACGGAAGGCATATTCCCAGCCAATCCGGGCTGTCCTGGTGGTCCAGGTACACCCGGAACTCCATTCATGCCAGGCTCTCCGGGCAAACCTGGTGGCCCAGGGGGGCAGACGTTGTTAACGTTACAATCTGCAAAAAATTGACATATTAAAAGAAGTATTTGAACAATGTCTATATTAACGATGTAGTGATATTTGGAGAAGTCCGGAACGCAGCTGTCTGCAGCGGAGAAAGAACGATTATCCTTTCAGGGGCTAACGCGTTCACAACCTTACCAAGTGAGTCCTTTGTTTCGCTTTAATCTCAGCTCTGTTTTTAAATTATTGGCGCTATCAGCAATCATCCGTAAACGGGATTGATCCATGAAGCAACGACAACAAAACCAGCTAAGCTGAGGCTGTAGTCGAAATCACAATGTTAACTTTTTATTTACTTTTTGGGGATGAAAGCATCAGCTCTCGGAAAAGATAATAACGCTCTCGTTCCCCACCGCAGACACCTTCCGCCTCGGAATTTTGCAAATATCTCAGCATCATTATGGTTGTATCACACATAGTAACCTGCAGTGAAAAACTGTCACAGGCAGTAAAGGAAAAGTTAACAATGTCTATGTTACTATGAACTCGCATAGACCGCCTTCACTTTCACAGTTTTCCACCTTCTCAAATGTCAAAGGTGTCTCCATATCGTTAACCATTAAAAACTGCCACATATTTGTGTTAAAAATGTATTAGATCAATGGTGAAGTCAAAGAATGCCGAAAATAAATCGTAAAACAAAGCCTGCAAACTGAAAAAAAAATACCACGAGAAATGTGGGAAATACAACCTTTTACTAGTGAATTGCTCATACTGTCATTTTGTTATGTCCTTTATTCGGACTGAACCTACTCACTACAGTTGTAACTCTGCCTTTTCGATCTGGCAATGATTCCAGCGGCGACACGCTCCCCTTGCATACCCGACCACACTCCGTTTTGAAGTTGACGGAACTCCGTCATGTCCTAAAATTTGACCATATCAGAAGGGAATCACCACTCCTGTGAAGTAACACCATTTTCCTCTACAACAGTGAAAAAAGAAACAAATGGAAGCCCTTGATACCAATAATTTTCTCATTTTCGTAAGAGATATCGGCATTACTTGTAAAGAAAGTGCAAGACCGGATCTCGCTGCACTTCGTGAGCAGAATTTTTTTAAACAAAAATCCGGATGACACCTCAAGACCGTAACTCATTACGTCAACTTCAGGCAAAGATGTGTTCCTAATAAAAAATCGGTTACCTACCTTACGCAAATCATCAGTGATTGTGTTGATTTTTGTCCACAGAGTCGGAACGTAGAGAGCTACGATGGCCAGCGCGATGCTAGAGCATCCCATTGCGGTGTACCCAGCTAGACGAGCTGACATCTGCAACAAAGCTTCTCATTATAGAGAACAACGAATGTTAACTCACTCAACGAGAAATCCATCGACAATGAACAATGATTTTCTCTACATGTATATGTATGTATATATATACCCTTACGAACTGCCTTTTTTGAGCTGATGTGAGGTTGCTATAAATTGTCTTCTTCTTGTTGTTACTGTGGTTCGATGGCAGACGCTTCGGCGACCTTGCTTTTTTCAGAGCCTGGACGCATTTTATGCAACAGTACCCTTCCAATTTTGAAGTGACTGTCCGGATCCTAACGCAGGAAATTAACGTGCAAGACTCTTCTCGCGTTTTGGATAAAATTCAGGAACCCAAAGATAAACCGGATAGATGAAGCTTTGCTAACAGTGGTGACCTTACCTGGCGCCTTGTTTCGAGATGATTTTTTGACCTGAGTTGGTTTCGTTCGTCATCTCACGTGAACAACACACGAGTGGTACCATGCGCAATGACACGGTGAATAGTTTGCAAACAAAATGGCTTTTATTTATACGTTAGATCTTCATTAACGCTGTAGATATTTCACCAAATTATTAGGCTGTTGTTGTATAAAGTACGTCTAGGGTCTGAAGAAGAGGGAGTCGCCGATACGTCAGCCACCGAACGACGGCAACTTTTACCAACTCCGCATTAGTTCAACAAGGGCAGTTCGTAAGAGTACATATACATATGTCAAGTACTTATCTTGAGGTGTATAGAACCCTGGTTTTTTGAGTTATTCAGAGATTTTCCTTGCTGCTAACAGAATGCCTCCCAATTTTCGCGAAGAATGAAACAAATGTTCTTCCCTCTGATAAATTTCACAAGGATAAAATGAAGGATGAAGCTTCTAACGTTGCTCTGTTCCTGAAAGTTTGCTTTTGGCATACATCAAACGGCAAGAGTCTAACCAGAAAGGGATGAATAGCTTCGTTATTTGACGGAAAGGAATAAAATCGAAGATAATGTGTACACTGCAGAGCACCTCTAACCACTGCTCTACTCGTGCGCTTGTCATGTAGATATCGCGTAATGCTTGCCTTCCATTGGAATTTTCTGAGAAGTAGTGAGCGTGTCCCAACATTTATTACCTAATTTTTTATTGCTTCTCCTTCTTATGCAATAAAACCCGACAAAACATTGAACTGAGAAATCAACTGCGAAGCAACTCGATGTTTCATTCATCACTAATGAGTCCATTGCCAGTGTTTCATACCTTGATGAAGCCAGTTTCATTTCATTGATGCAGTCAATGATACGTTTGGTATGTTCGAAATTTTCAGCACGATATCACTTTTCCCACTGTCTCTCATAAGTTTTTACTAACTACTTACCTGCTCGCTTAATTACTTATTTTCTTAAAGTTTTTTACTGTTTTCTAAATTTCTACTTTAATCAATAGAACTAGCTGAGAGACAGGCAAAACGAAAGACCCGGATGGTGTGGTGGTGAAGTGCGCTACTCCCCAGAAAGGACAATAGAGCGCGTTCGTTCCTCACCGCATACAACTGCGCTCCGGAGTTTTGCAAATATCTCAGCATTATATACGTGTTATATTTCACAACATACTCTGCCATTAAAAAGAAAAAGGCAGTAAATAAAAGGGTTAAGATTATAAACACAGATTTAAGAAACCACTAAGAAGCAAGTATCGCGACCACTTACTACTTTGTCTCCTTCCAAAAGTGCTTTCTATCCTAAAAATAGTGACTTTAATTAAGTCGCAGAATGTTTTAGCTGTCCTGTTTCATTATTTTTCTACACCGCTGTGCTGAAACAAGCCAATGGAAATCAGCTTTCAAGGTGTTTTTCATTATTTTATTGCAATATGAGTAAGGGTTAGTGTGGCGCAGTGGTCGAAGGCGCCCTGCAACACACGCGTGGAATCGATCACCGCGCCCATGACCCATCAAGCCTTCCATCCTTCCGCGGTCGGCAAATTGGTACCAGACTTGTCTGGGAGGATAGCGGCACTGGCTCGATATATCGGTAGGCCATTGCGAGTAAAGGCCAGATATGCATTCAATCACCTCCAACAATGCTTAATGAAGTCGAATGCATAGCGCGTCCCTCAGAGATTGATCAACGCCGGGAGCTTTATCCCTTGTTATCGGCGGTTATCGATACCTCAAAACTAACTTTCTTTTAATCTTGGCATTGATCAATATCAATAGTTCACTGTTTTTCTTGATAAGAAAGCAAGAAATTATTATTGCAGCACTCTTTAATACACAGTAGTTGAAGCTTCGGCGGAGCGGATTCTCGTTCTTCAAAGCCTGGAAAGATCAAATTGACAAGCAATCTACTCAGCCGAACATCCCCGTTAACTCAGCGGACAAAGTTTGATACATAAATTTTTCATTGTCATAATAAACAGCTTCTTTCCAACATTGATCAACGCCCACAGTTTTACATTTATCCTTTATTAGTAGACCTTGGTGCACGTAATTCTAAATTAGACAGTATTTAACGGTGGAGCATAACACGATTTCAGTACCATTTTCGCTTTGATTTTATTTTCTCGGTATTGAATTTTGATCAACGAGAAATTCGTTATTACAGCAAGGATCAAAGAAAGAGAGCGTTATAACCCTAAAAAGCTTGAAAGGAATTTTCCACATGTATAGGGTACTTCACAGAATACAAGAAATGGCTATACGAGATCTCTACCACAGTCTGCACGCTGAGATGGGAATTGTGGTCCACGTGAACTCCTTGGTGTGGCACAAGGTCAAAGTTTTGAAAGGTAAGGTTGTCGCAGAAAAACAGGAAGTTCATTCTATAAAAACCAAGGAAGTAACCGCAAAGTGGTTCCGATCACTAATCTTTCATGAAAGGTGGGTAGCGCGGTACTAGTGGTACCACAAGACGATCTAGCGTTGCGACTACTAAGGATTTTATCTCTCCGGAATAGGAATTTGATAGCAGATTGGTCTGAAAAGTACTCCCTACAATCCACCAAGGCTAGCAATGGCCTCCTGTGAAAACCCGGAACACCGTATTGCCGTTATTCCAGTGTACTAGGGAGAATCTGCTTGGTCGCGACTTACCGAAGTTCATTAAGAAGAACAAAATCCTCAGATAGTAGCAAAACGCACATGAAAATACGTAGGTCTTAAATGGTGGATGCGAGGAAATGAATCGAATACAAGAACTGCAGACTTATGTAAGGTCGTGGAAGAAAGTTATCTTAAGACGGCAACAAGCAGTAGAAGCTGTTCTGTACGGCGATTGGCGTTGACCATCTAGTTGAGCTCAAACAATTCTCAGAACTTTTTTCTTCAATGAGCAATCGCGAGGTTGGTATTATAATTTCCAAAACGTCATGTCCTACAAATGAAATAAGATCTATAACGTAAACCTGCAACCGTACAGACCAGGTTTCCTCCGAGTTGGTAAATCCTGTAATCAGAACACATGGTACGTATTGTTCTCGTAACGGATCTATTGCGGCTCTCAATCCTAGTCATGGTCTCCCTCAAAAAGTCTCTTCAGCGCGGACAAAGAAAAGATTTAGTGAATCGCAAGACACACTCGTGATCGGTCGAAGTGCGGCCTATTAAGCGGTGTCGAATGTGCTGAAGTCCAGGCGTGATTCCAGTTCGCTAAACAAAACATCTCTATCAAAGGTAGACGGTGGTGTAGACTTTGGCCAATCTTCGCAGCTCACTGAGGCGCTTGAAACACAACCATACCGTTCGCCGTAAGTGTACTACTCCTTACGGAGGATGTACTTCGAAGCCATGTCTTGAACCTATAGACTGTAGTTTTCGAGTCGTTTTCATTCTCCTGATGATTAAACTATTAGAGATCATATATGGTATAAAATACACGAATTCGGCCTATTACATCATAGCCGATCGGATACGGATATCGATGTAGCCACTGGAATAACTTCCTCCCCGAAAGAAACCTGATCGCCATGGTGATAAGCATCTCTTTAATCTAGAAATGCTGTAAATCGCATGTTGTGGCAACCAAAACACGCCTTCCCAACGACATGTCTACATCTCAGTATACCAGGGAAAAAAATTGTCAAATTAGCTTAAGATCAAATATATGGAAACTGTGTTAAGAAAACCACGATTATTCGTGAAGATGGCCATTCAAGTTTTAGTTTCCCATCTCCGTCACAATCGAGGTTGCTGAGCCCACTATAAAAGGTGGTTTGGGGTCACTTCCAAAACCCCAATTTCAATTAAGTAGGGCACAATTTAAAAGCCTTCCACAATGGAAGAACATAGGATTCTAACTATTCGTAGGCAACTTCTCATTAAAAACACTGAAATTAAGAAGACTCACAGAAGAAATGTGCTGGTTTTCGCATATTTCGTGAAAGCAAACGGCATAGAATTTGTCCAGCCTAGAAATGCGACGACAAATAATGGAGACTTTACTCATGGAGTGCCTCCCAATGGTTTAACGCCTCGTCGTGGCTGGGAGGTGATCCTGATTGTCGGACCGCGATACAGCGGTCTCCCAAACTAAGGAGTCCCGTTTTCATCAGGAAACCCAGCTAAGATTAAACCCATACCAGGATCGCTGCCATGAAAATTTGTAATAGGAAGTAAATAAAGTGTTATCCTTGTGATTTCGACTACAGCCTCAGTTTAACTGGGTTCGTTGCCAATTTGGCTCCCTAGATCAGTCCCGTTGACGGGTGATTACTAATGGCGCTGATCAACAGAATTAGGCGAGAGACGGAAGAAACGAAGGCCCGCATGGTGTGGTGGTGAACGCGTTAACCCCCGACAAGAGTGATAGCGTGTTCGTTCCCCACTGCAGACACCTGCGGTCCGGAGTTTTGCACACATCTCAGCATTACTGTGGTTGTATCACAAGTAATACCCTGCCGTGAAAAAAATGTCGTAGGCAGTAAACAAAAAGCTAACATTGTAATACGAAGATCCACCACCGTCCTGGTATCAAACTAGTCACATGATGGCAAATCTTCTGATCCACGAGGGCGGCGACTGCCTGTAGTGGTCTGGGGCAG